ATTTTAAAACTTTAAAATTTTTATTTTTAAATATGTTACTTCATTTTGTTTATTGAGTTTCAAAAGTGGAAAGACATAAACGAATTTTGCAACAGTTTTGTGTAATTAAATCCTTTTTTAAAATTACCTCAGGTGTAAAGATGTACTTGTAGAGTTTATAGTGCCTCATGTAATGGTCGTTGATGTATTTTAATATACAGTTCACCTCCATRAAGCTGAACAGGTTGGCACTAAATGGTGGGCGCTGTAATGAGCAGAATCAGACACATCAGAGAGGAGCACAAACCAGATATTTATAGGTGTTCACGTCAAACTTAAAAACACTGGTTATTTCTCTTACCCTGACTGAGTGTAAGAGCAGGAGCTCCTCGGAATACTTGAGACACTGATCTTTGTTGTCCAGAGGCGTTTCTATGAGTTGAAAAACATTTTATTGTGAAATAAGTCATGATATCAAGTTTAACATCGCTAACAATAAATTTGGTAAATATTTGGCTTGGAAATATGTAAAAAAACAACAACAAAAACAACAAAAGTTAAAACTTTGCTTACCAATGTTGGCCTCATGAATGGACTTGATGATTGACAAAAGTGCAGAGGTTTGCTCTTTTTTGAATCCTTGCTTTCTGCAAAACAGCACAGTTTCCACGTACAGCTCCAGCAGAGCTCCTCTCCTTGGCTCTASGAGGTCAACTCCAAACACCCGACAYAAAGTCCTGCCACAAACAGACGCACGGGTCAAAAATCAAGAACGAGTGCATCAACGAGTAAATAGAAAAGATCACCTCTCGAGGTCAGGAATGGAAAACATTCGGTCAATAACTTCCATATGGTGGTGCTTTACGTCAGTCCTGAAGAAACACAAAGAATGAACTCAGTGTTGCATGTTAAGCAAAGCTAGGTGCATGTGGAGCAGAATGTAATGAAAATGAGCTCACCATAACATCAAACTGGCTTTCAAGGGTCGCGGTAACTACAAAACAACAAATAGTTGGGCTTTAAATGCATTGATGGGAAGTGGTGGGCAGCACTAATCTCAAAATTAGTTCCACTAGCCCTAAAGCACTGACTCAAGTATTTAGATCCCCTAATTCTAAAACACTAACATACTGAAAATTTAGCAAAAGCTAATTTTAAAGCCCTAAAAGAACCCAGTCAACCATGTGGAAGATTTTTCAACAGACATGAGTCACATTTTGCCATGCTGCTCTCTTAAACCTTATCATTGACATTCCACAGCTGTTTCAGTTCACATACAGCGGGTAAAATAAGTATTGAACACGTCAACATTTTTCTCAGTAAATATATTACTAGAGGTGCTAATG